CCCCCCCCCGCTCCCCCAACAAGCAGGTGAATGGTATTGTTTGTACCTTGCTATTGTACTGATGGCAGATTTGTTCCACAGTTATCTGGAAATAGCTTTATCAGCATCTCATGTGCATTGACACTAGAACCTTATTACTTTATACCAGGAGAGCACTGCACATAGCAGTAGAAATGCCTTCTGTCTACCGGATGATGCACCACACTTATCAGTACAGCTCATTGCTGTGGTGGATGTTCATGCAATGAGATTTGCTAGAGAAAGGACTGATTTGTTGATAGGGGCCTTAGGGGAACCCATGGGACCTCTGCCTGTAACCTGTCTGCTCTCTAGCTGTTCAATAACTTCCTAGCCAAGAAAGTACTTTTCTATGATCACATTCTCCTTTGCTCAGTACTTAGTATTTGGCCTAGCCATTACTGGACCTTTTTATCATTTTTTTTTTTTTTTGCCTAAATATGGATACACCCTTGACATTTAGTAAATAAGATCATAGGATAAATGAATAAACAGTAAATAACAGCCCTATCATGGAATCAGCACAAACTGGCGGGTAGCGAGTTAGTTATGTCAAATGGTGTTGAGCATCCTGGAAAATGCAGCCTTTTCTGCTGAGCACTCATTGGCTTCTGCTACAGACTTACAGCCCCCTGGGAGATAGGGGAGTCTTCCGCAGACAGAGTGATATGTTGAGAGCTAGGAATTGCCACCTCAGTGGATACTGAATGGGGCTTAGGCTAAGATCTTTGGTTGGGCTTTGGTATGGGAAAGGAATTCAGTGCTTTTACTGGAGAGCCAACAGCTAGTGAGCAAGAGAGGTAATAGCAGAAGCAATCAGCTGAAGTTTTAAAATGCTTAATAAATACATTATCAAAATTAAAAGACAAAAAGTGCCTTAATCATTTCTCCATCAGTTATATTTCATACATGCTAAGGACTGTAAGCTTTTCTGATGTAAGGACCGTGTGTTTGGAGCAGGCCAACGCTGGGGATCTAGCACAATGGGCACCTAAAGCTAATGCCTTTGGGCACTGCAGCAGTCCCAGTAGGTATATTGGTATATCTCAGTCTTGCATGATGCTCACCATCCTTGTAGTTTACAGTAGTGCATACTGGTATAGTATATGTACTATAAAGTAGAAACAATAAGTATGCTCAGCATCTTGTAAGGTTGGGCACTTAAATACATTTGGGAATCTGGGCCTGTGTCTTAATGTAGGGCTGACCCTGTAAAATACTGAACAGCCATATTAGGACACAGTCCCACTTCCTAAAAGGCATTTAAGCACCTAACGCAGGTATTTAGGCATACTGTAAATTCACAATGATTTACAAAGGGCTGTTTCAGCATCCCCTACTAATTGCTGCTTGTAAATGTTTATACCTGGAATTAGGTGCCTAAATACCTTTGACAATCTTGGCCACATTCTGCAGCTTTGAGACCACTGTGTCATCTCCTTTCTTCCAAGCATTTCAGGGGTGAAACATGGGAGATGAGAACAGAAACAGTGTCTTCCTACTACAGAGAAACAGTTCCCTTTGTGAATGACACTGTGATGTCCCCTGAACCATGCTGCTGCATGCCAGACCTGCAGAAGTTACAGCGTACTGATTCTCTCTCTTAATGACTTATTTATTCCCTAAATCTGGAGGCTTCTGCAATGCTCTCAGCTCTAAAGGAGGCGGAGCAGGGGAGAGAAACAGACAGACAGAGAAGTGGACTAGGGGTAGACTGAAGGGAATTGTGGCCAGCTTTTCTTAAGTGAAGAGATGGTAGCCATGAAAGTGAAGGTCAAGGGAAAGGGAGGGGGAAGAACAAATTGAATGAAAGCGGGTTGATTCCAACTTTATTAGGCAAACTCTCAAGTGAAGTCATGTTATTCCTCCTTTCCTGAGCAGTGGGGACAGAAGTATAACTCTGTTGCTAGCCATTTGGATTATGCTGCTGCCCTCTCCCCACTCCTATGGTTGCAATGCTTTTAAATGATGGGAAATGAAGGACAAGAGTGACAATGTTACAAGGGGTTTTGTTCTCTTCCTTTTTGTGCAGCTTGTTTCTCAGACTGTGCTGGTTGCCTAGGAAACTGCTGAACGTGGAATTTGATTGAATGTGTGGCCAGACCATACGTCAGAGTTGTGGGCAGAGTTTCAATTGATGGACTCGTGCGTGCGTGTGCGAGAGAGAGAAAGAATGGAGAGAACAGGCATCGGAAATTAAATGCTAGGGAATCGATTTCCTAACAAATGATTGGAAAGAAACTGCAGCAAACAGGAGGGGAGTTGTGCATCTCAAATATTCATTAGGAAATAAATTAGAGCTTCATCCAAAGTCCATTGCAGTCAAGGGAAATTTTCCCATTCTTTTCTATGGGCTTTGATTCCAGTCTTTTTATAGAAGTGCGTGGTAGCTGGTATTTACTCTGCTGTCCTTCAGTTAACTGAGTTATTCTTATTGTTCATCTGCAAGAATAAAGAACAGGATAGGTTTGTTTTTTCCAGCATCAAAAAAAAATTGTCTTCTTTGAATTGAATTAAAATTCAGCTCTTGAAACTCTGTTTCTTGAGGAGAAAGTAAAAGTGGGTGTGGAGGACATTAAAGGTCAGCTGATCCTTTCTAAAAATGTCTTGCCGTGGAAGAACTATGCATTGTAGGACATGGGGATGTGAAGTTTTTGAAAACCTATTCTCAAATTTGCGATTCAGTGGGGCTGTTGTTAGCACAGTTTTAAAACTGGAAACAAGCACACCCCAGACCTGCTTACACAAGTAGGAGGTATGTGCTGCATTCACGTTTGCACATGGCCAGGCGGATAGTTCTTCCAGCAGACAACCAACGCAGCTTTATTGAACTAAAAATGCTTTTGAGCAGCTTTGGAAATGCAAACAGCACCAGTTCACCACAACCCGACAGGTCTCATTACACCAAAATTTCTGTAAACTGCAATCGTTTTGAGTAGAGCACACAACACATCCCAGTATTGATCTATCTCACCATTATCCAAAATAATCACCTGAAGCCCCAGGGGGGCAATGGCAGCAAAATATGCACATGATTAAAAAAAATAATGTCATTGGGGAGGTGAACATTCGATTAGGCCTGTACCAAGGCCCAGAAATGTTTGCTTGGAGGTAAAACAATGTGTTGCTTTTCGCTAAGGGCAGCCAACCAGATAATTAAATTGCTGCTGGTTCAAGCCAGTAAAAACTGATTTTACAGGGCACGAGCTGTGTGATTTCCTCCAGAATCCCTTCCCCCAAGGGAAACTGGGTGCATCTACATGAGACTCTTAATGCACAGTAGCCTAATAACACTGCACAGTAGTGTGGGGCAAAAATCACACTAATACACTACTGAGCAGCAGCAGCATTAGGCTCCTGCACAGTAAGCACCATCACTACTAAACTGTGTGCTGGCACCAGAACGCAATAGCTAGTTACGGCACATTTAGCCAGTACTGCATTAAGGGAGTAGTAAATGAAAAGCACAGGAACTACAGGCAGACACGGTTCTTTGGGTAAATCTGTTATCTTTCATTAGGCACGGCTACAACTGACCACACATTCATGAACCTGCAGCCGTGCCCACTGAGGTCAAGAGCCCCCCAGCAAACCCGTTCAGAGCCAGAACTGCAGCTGGCAGGGGACGAGAAAAGAGCAGGTGGCAGGAGGCGTGGGTGAGAGGGCCTGGCTGTCCCTGCAGAGCCGGCGGGGCCGGTGTCCAGGCGCAGGGGACCTGGAGGCTGGGAAGGATCAGTCCTGAGCCGGGCGGAACAAAGGAAGGGGCAGCAGGCTTGCCCCCAGCCTCGTCCTGGGAGCACCTGTGCCAGGGTCGGCCTCGGCAGACGCTCAGGGAGGGCTGAGGGGGGCTGCGCCCTGCCCCCGCCCCTGCAGCAGGGCGAGGCCGGGTGGGGGCGCTGCTGCCGCAGAAACACAAAGTGGGAGGGGGGGCAGGTGCACGCGCGCAAGGGCTCTAGGCCCCGGCTCCCAGACAATGCCGCAGCTCGCCCCTCCCCCGCCGCGCGCCCATTGGCTCTGCCCTGCAGCCTCGTATTACCTCACCCGCCCCCCATTGGCGGAGCGGGCCGGAGGGGGCGGGGCCGGCAGGCGCCTATATAAGGCGGGATCTGGGGCGCGGCGCCGGCAGCTGCCGGGCAGGGCTGGGCAGGAGTGCGGTGCGGTGCGGTGCGGTGCGGTG